GGAAAAATTATCAATATTATTTTAAATTAATTTTTATTTTATTAAATTTTAATTATTATTATTATTATCATCACTATTATTATTATTATTAAGTGATTTTTTATAAAATCACCGCCGACGACGTTAAAAATCGCGAAAATGTGGAAAATTATTATCGAAATCATTACGATCGTTATTGATCTTCGTATTTTTTTTAACGGTTTTTTTTTGGGGGGGGGGAGTTTTTTCGTTAGAAATATTCTCTCTCTTTCTGTCGTTCTCTTTCTATTTTTTTCCCCGACCGGAATTTAAAAAAAAAAATCCCGAAAAGAGTTTTTGGTAAATTATTTAAATTTAATTACGTCAATTTTAAAAAAAAAATTACACATAATTTTTTTTAATGGCGACCCATCGAGAATAAAAAAAAAAAAAATTAGGTACGACAGGGGTACAATTAACTACCCGCAAAACTCGCTTCGGGTTGCTCCTCGAGTAAAAAAAAAAACAAAATGGCGGGTAGGGATTTTTATACTAACGATAACATAATTGTAAAAAATTATTTTAAAATTAAATAATAATTTGTATTGTTTGAAAGGTTCGTCGGTTGTTTTTTTTTTTTTTTTTGAAAGAGTTTTTCCACCTGCTGTGGATACGATAATAACAAACACCTTGTTTGTTGCTTTCTTAACAAACAAAATTTTAAAAAAATACGTAATCGACGTTTGTTAGCTAAAACATTTAAATGATTAAAAAAAAAAGTTTAAATTTTTTTCGGTTGTTGATTTTTTTATTTTAAACCGTAACCGAATTGTTGTGCTTGAGAGTAACAAACAAACGAACAAACGGAAAACGTAACGAAACGAATTTTTTTTTTTTTTTGCGAAATAAATTTTTCCTTAAGCGAATCACGAAAAAAAAAAAAATTTCCGCGAATGAGTTAATATTATTTATCGATCGTCGTGGAATTAGAATTAATATGAAAAGAGAAAATTTCTTTCTTTCTTTCTTTCTTTCTTTATTTCTTTTCATTTCCGTTGCGTGGTTTAAAATAATAATAATAATAATAATAATCCGAATGTTTTTCTTTTCTTTTTGTTCTTGTTTTTGTTACGCCTGAGGTAAAAAAAAAAAAAACTTTCATATTTTTTTTTTCTCCATTTACTTCCCCACAAAAAAAAAAAAAAATAGGAGAAGATGAGGTGGAAAAAATAAAAAAAAAAACAAAAAGAGAGAAAGAGAAAGAGAGAGAGAGAGAGAGAGAAAGAGAGATGAAGAATAAAAACGTTTTTCTTTTCTATTCAGCTCCATTTTTTTTTTTTTTTAATGTTTTGATTTTCTTTTAATTTTCGTAAATTTTAAGATTATAATTTTTTGGAAAATATCCAAATTTTTCCAGTCATTTTCATTTTGTTGGTTTTTTTCTTCCTAGAGCTCCCCAGAGAAATCTCTGGGAAGTTTCCTAGTTTTTCCTCTATCATTTTTCCTTTTTTGCCAAAAATTATCCAAAAAAAAAAACTTTCTTAAATTATTTCATCCTTTTCATTTTTATCATAAAAAAAAGAAGAAGATTCGATTATTACCATTTAAAATCCTCTATCGTTTTACAACTATTTCCGGTTATTTTCCTTTGAATAAATAATATTATAATAATGATAACGTTTTAAAAAGAAAAAAAAAACGACGGATTTCGATACATTGTTATTCAAAAAATATTAAATTTTTAAAAAAAAAAAAAAAGGTTTCGCTTTCCTTTTCACAAAAAGGTTTTTCTTTCTTTTTTTCTTTCTTTCCTTTGAATTTTTCCTTTAAAAGGTTGTTAAGTATAAAAAAGAAAGTGTTTGTGAAAGAAATTTTTTTCTTTTTTTTTTCTCTCATGAAATAAAATTTGTTCAACCGCAAAAAATTTTATTTCGTTTTTTTTTTTTTTTTTTTTTTTTTAAAAAAAAGGAAAAAAAAATTTATGGGAGGAGGAGGAAAAGGGAAAAAGGGAGGGGGAAACAAGAGGAAGGAAGGAAAGAGAAAAAGGTTTTCGATGCGAAAATTAAATAAATAAAAAAAAATATTTAATACTCGAAATAAAAAAAAAAAATTTCTAATTAAAACTCGAAACGCGTCCTTTTTATCGCATCTCTCTTTTTCTCTCTCTCTCTCTCTCTCTGTTATATTTTTACTAATGACACTTTTTTTTTTTTTCCTATAATAATTCTCATGTTTGTTGGTATTATTATTATTATCGTAAGAGAAATCCCCCCTAATTGTACGTAAAAAAAAAAAAAAAAAAATGCAGAAACGGAATAAGACAAAAAGAATACGATGTTGATAATAATGATGATGAAAATAACTGAAGAAACGTTTGAGGCCGTGAGAAAAAAATTTTTTTTTTTTTTTTTACTCTAAAAAAAAAAGAAGAAAAAGACAATCGAAAAACAATGGCGGACGTTTATAAGAAAAAAAAAAGGATAAAATATATAAAAGAAACGTGGAATTGCAATAATCAAACACGCAAACGCATGCCTACATGAGTAAATATGTTTAGTATACACGCACGCGCACCTGTACGATCTCTCTCCCTCCCTCTCTCTCTCTCATTCACCTTTAAACAACTCCGTTGACAAAACAGAGAGAGAGAGAGAAAGAGAGAAAAGCCGACAAATTATTTTTTGATTTTACTTAACTAATCGTTAAGGGAAATTTTTTCGCCCAAAAAAAAAAAAATTTCACGATTACCCGTCGTGGTTTTAGTTACCAGAAAAAATTTTTTAATCGCAATTTTTTCTGCCATTTTTCCCGCGTTTATTTTTTATTTCGAATTCGAAAAACGAAGTCGTTTCAAAAAAAAAAAAAATCAACGTCAATCGAAGTAAGAAGAAAAAAAAAAAGTAAAATAAAATAAAAAAGATTAAATTCCTCCATTTATTTAATTAAAACTTCTACGGAAACCAACGGAAAACTTTTTTCTCTCTCTCTCTCTTTTTTTTTCCTCCCCCATCGAAAGAACTGGAGAACAGAAGTGAGAAGAAGAAAAAAAACCAACGAACGGATGGATGGATGGATGGATGGATAAAAATAGGGAATGTATAAGAAGAACGAAGGAACGGAAAAAGGGAGAAGAGAGAGAGAGAAAGAGAGAGATAGAAAAAAAAAAATATAAAACTGGAGAAAAAAGCAGAAAATATATGAAAAGTGACAGCTGTCGAAATAAAACAAAAAAAAAAAAAAAAGAAGAAACAAAACGGTCAAATAAATATATTCAGAGAAATGACAAAAAAAAAAAAAAATTTTTTTTAGATATGATTCTTCTACTACCACGACTAAATAAAATGGATTTCGTGTAATAAGAAAAAATTTCAAGCTGTTTCAATCTCGTTTAGTTTTTCCATATATACACACATACAGAGAGACAAACGTTTACTGGAAAATCTGGAGAAAAAGGGGTTTATGAGATTTAAATTTTTTTTTTTTTCATCCCTTTCCTATTATTATTATTATTATCCATTCGAAAAAATTATTACAAGTCGTTTTACCTTATATAATCGTTTAACAATTTTCACAATGAAAAAAAAAACAAATTATAATAGCAGACGACAACAACAACGTCTTCTGCTATTTGAATTTTCGTTTTGTTTTGTTTTCATTTCGCAACTTCCGGTTGAGTTTTTGTCGGTTTTACGAAATTCAATGGCGAAAAAAATTTTTTTTTTTTTTTAATTATTTGGTAATGCTATAAAATAAATCCGTTTGTTCGTTTGTTTGTTTTTGTTTGTTTGACCTCAGGTACTGACAGGAAAATATATTCGATCGCCATTTTTTTTTTTTTATTTGTACGCGTCGCGGTTTTTTAATTTTTTTAAGGAAGTTAAAATCCGTATTATTATTATTATCATTATTATTATTAATTACGTGTATTTCCGTTTTTTGTTTTCTCTATCCGGTTTATTGTTGTTTGTTTTGTTTTTTTCCCCCCCATTTTCCTGTCTATTGATTGATAATTACGCGCTTTTAATTTTTATGCTTCATTTTCCTCAAAATTTTTTTTGTTTTTCCATCGCGTTAGATTTTCCCATTATTATTATTATTATCATTATGACGTTACAAACGGCGGTACCGGATAAATTTCGGTGGTAAAAACAATTCAGAAACAAAACAAAAAAAAAAAAACTTCAACGCTAGACGACGACGACGACAAGGAAAACAAAATATGAAATGACGTAAGAACCGGCACACAAAGGTTTTCAAAGTCGGCGGTGAGAAAAAAGGATGAAAAAATTCTAAGAGAGCGAGAAGATGTAAAATAATTTGACAGAAGAAAATGATTGAGTGACAGAACAATGGCGGAATGTTTTTCGAATGGTTCAATTTCAATTAAATTTCGGTAGCTCGTTTTTATAAAGGGGGTTTTTTTTTTTGTTGGTGATAAAAATGACCCAGCATCTTCTACAAACACGAATCACAAACAAAACATAAACTTTATGTTTTGTTTTGTTTTTTATTCACGGTGTTGTCAAAGTTGTTTCATCAGGTTTCTTTTTTTTTTGTTATATTCGAATTAAATTGATTTGTTTTTTGATTGTTAGTCGTAAAAACAAAACAAAACATTTGCAATGTAACATAAACAAAAAAAACTTGATTTTGTTTTGTTTTGTTTTTGTTGTCACGTTACTCAAATTTTCACTTTTTTTTTTTGTAATCATCGTCATTACAATGCAAATATATAATGCAAAAAATAAACCGATATTAAAAATTATTTGACGGTTTAAATTTGCCGAAACGTGGCAATAACAACAACAACAACGCGAATGTTTTAAATAACGAAAAGATAATTAATTATAACAAAACCAACATAAACAAAATCAGAAGTATAAAAGTCACTTATTACCTGACAGCTGACACGAATGACATCTCAATAATCGTGCCAAAAAATTTTTTTGTAATTAATATTATATTTTTATATCACCCGTCACGTTTTTACGAAAAATCTAGTGACACGATATAATGTTTAAAAACCAATAAAATTTTTTTTAATGAAACGGAAGGAAGAAAACAAAAAAAACCGTTCTTCACACGTTCGAAAATTTTCAAAAAAATAATAATAATAGTGCGAATGATAATAATAATAGTAATAATAATAATAATAAATTTTAAATTTCAGAAAATGGACTCCCGAGAAGATTGAGAACTGCTTACACGAACACACAACTTTTAGAATTAGAAAAAGAATTTCATTTTAATAAATATTTGTGCAGGCCTAGAAGAATCGAAATTGCTGCTTCTTTGGATTTAACCGAAAGACAGGTAATTATTAATAATAATAATGATAATGATAATAATAATGATAATAAGTATAAATTCGATCGTTTATTTAATAACGGACCGAACGGAAATGGAAACGTCGACAACAACAAAAAAAACCAAACGAGGTTTCCTGAGAAGAGTAAAAAATCGAAATTAAAGGATGAAATGAAAAAAAAAAAAAACCAATTGATGATGATAATGATGATGATGATGATGATGATTATGTTTTCAAAAAATCTAAAAAAATTTTGGAAGGAATCCGTTTCCGGTTTTTTTTGGAAATAATTAAAAAAACGAAACGAAACGATATCGATTGAGTCGGATATACTAAATTTAAAAAAAAGAAAATTTTCCCCAAATTTTAACTGCTTCAAAACCATTTCCTTTTTTTTAAAATTATAGTTCTATATTTATAGCACGTTATATAGCGCTATAATTTTTGTTTAAAGAGAGAGAGAGAGTAAATTTTAAATTTATTTATTAAAAATGGCATCGTCGTCGTCGTCACTCGACTGAATTTTTTTCTTATTCTTTAAGTTTAGAATAAAAAAAAAAAAAAAACTTTATAAAACTTTTTCGTATTAGAAAAAGGAATAAAAAGAAAGGAAGAAAAAGGAAAAAAAAGGAAAAATCTCAAAATGACAAACATTGTTTCATACCGTATCGGAAATATGAAATTTCCTTTTTAACAGCATTGAATATTTGTTTTTTTAAGCATGATTTGATTTTAACGGAAATTTCTCTATTACATTCTCATCGATCAATTTTCACGTTGCCCTTTTTTTCTCTCTCTCTCTCTCTATCTCAATCTCTCTCACTCTCTTTTTGCTGGAAAAACTAATAATAATAATAATAAATAAATAAATAAACTCGAAAATAAAACGACTGGAAAATAAATAAAAACTAACAAAGTCGATGATTTTTTTACCCACGTGATTTTTTTTCTTTTCGATTGTATCGTTTTTTTTTTTTACTGCCACGTCAATAGAAACGACGTGGAAATGGGAAAAAAAAAAATTACATTCGGGTATGTTTTTTTTCTCTCGGTATTGTTTTAACGTGCGTGTAATTGATTCAAACAACAACAACAAACAACAAACAACAATAATAGTAATGATTATGTAGCGTAAAAACAATAAATTAAGCAATAGCGGTTTATGTGAGAAAAAAATAATAAAAATTACAAAATAAAATAGAAAACAATAGAATTTAAAAAAAAAAAAAATAATAATAATAATGATTATAATGGATAATAATAATAATAATAATAATAATAATAAGAGGAGGAAATGGCAAACTGAAAAAAAAAGAAGAAGAAGAAGAATGAAAACTTTAATTACTTTTTTTTTTTTTAATTTAATATCCTTCTTCGCACGAAATATTCAACGAAAAAATAAAATAAAAAATCATTTGTTTGTTTGTTTGTTTGTTTCAGGTTAAAGTATGGTTTCAAAACAGGAGAATGAAACACAAGCGTCAAAGTTTGAGCAAACAAGGAGAAGACGGTGAAGAAATAAAAGATTCGCCGACGGGTGGAAAAGGTTCGAAATCCGATGATAAATCCTTGTTGCTCCAAGATGAAAATTCAAAGAAAAGTTGTCAAAACTGTGATCTGACACCGACGGGACTCGAACTAACACACGGTATGAGAGGGAAAAATAATAATAATAATAATAACAATAATAATAACAACAACACCAACAACAACAACAATAACAATACGTATAATAGTAATTCGAGATCGGGAGCGAGTAGCGTGGCAAGTTCGAATTCAAGTTTTGAAAAAATTGTGACGGAAGAAGATTCTAGATCGAATGACGGTAGTAGTGTTATGACGTCTCTTCGATCTCCGAACCTTAAAAGTGAAATCAAAGTCGAAAGAAGTAAAAGTCCGTTACCCATTGATAAAAACACGCCACCCATTATGATACCCGATAGAAATGTTATACAAATACCTCCACCGGGTAGTTTGACTCCGTCTAGCACGCCGGGTACACCGTTGGGACAACAATCTAGCCCGATCGGAACAACTAATCAAACCATTTTCCCTCCACAACCTCGTCCGAGAAGTTCACCAACGGTCGTCGCGACGTTAGCCACAGTCACGGCGACGACTATAATGTCGCAAAGTAGTTCGACGATAAGAAGTCAAACTCCGCATTTCAATCAGCATTCCGTCAGGTTGATGCCGCCGAGAAATCAATCACCTCAATCGACCGGCGATTATAGATTTAATCAGTCTCAGACTCAAAATTATGGAAGACAAGTGAATTATTCGCCGAGAGAGCTTTATCAAATTCAACAGCAAAGAATGATGTACGACAATAATCAGTACCGACAACAGCAATCGCCTCGTTTAAACGGGGTGCACGTACCGAGAACGAGCGGAACTGTTTTACAACAGCAATCTCCATCCATGCAACAAAATCGAACGAATTATTCCGTTCAGCAATCAAACATGTATCAATATTGTCCGCAAAACCAACAGTATAACAATTACCAACAGAGTCAAGAAACTCAAACAAATTATCAAAATTATCACAGGAATTATCAGAGTCAATACGCTGAACAAACCGAATATCAAATGCCGTCGAATAATTATCATTATTATCAAAATTCAAATTCAACGCAAGGGAATCATACGCAATTGACAGGAACGCAAAGTCACGAATATTACGATTTGCAACAGCAACAGCAACCGCAACAACCGCAACAAACTCAACCGCAACAGCAACCTCAACAGCAGGCGACAAATTTTCACCACCAGCAAGACACAAATTCCGTCAAAAACGAGCATTTTTTCGAACATCAAACACCTGAACAAAATTATGTTAGCGTAACCGAACAATTTCCCGTGGCTGCGGCGGGGGGCAACAGCGTTATCGCTTCTGCGAACATCATGACGCCTCCTACAAGCCTACAAACAGAATCTAGTAACGACCAGTTCAATCATTTTCATCATTTTTACAACGAACCTCATCATAATCCTTCACCGGCAGACAATAGCAGTAGTTCATCAGATTTTAACTTTTTGAGCAATCTATCCAACGATTTCGCTCCTGAATATTATCAGCTTAGCTGAGAGATGATATTATATTAAAAAAAAAAAAAAAGGTCATTTTCTCATCTATGATTTGTGTGACGTCACACGGCAAAATTATAGCACTTTTTTTTTTTATAGCGCGTACTACGCTTCAACGCAAACTATAATAATTATCTCTTTGCATTTAATTTTTTTTTTTTTTTTTTCATTTTAAAAACGTAGTAAAATATATACAAAAACACAGCTATAAAAAAATATAGTCTTAAACTATAAACTAAGCTATAAAAACCGGCTTTAGGTCTATAAAAAAAAAAAAAAAACTAATCAGTGGCGAAGCAATTTAACAACAAATTACAAAAAAAAAAAATTTTTTTTTTTTTTTTTTATATTCAACTTTTTAAATCTTCCAACGAGTTAATCAATAAAACGGAAACCAACGTAATAATAATAATAATAATAATAATAATAATAATAAATAAAAAAATTAATATATAAATTTTGTTTTTAAATCGCCACAACAACAACCAACGAACAACAAACACGTTACAAATTATTATTATTATTTTTTTTTTACTTTTACCTCTTAGTTTTGTTACGTTTTTTTTTTTTTTAAATTAGTTCGAGCCATTAAATATATAAAAAAAAAAAAAAAATTATCGATTCGAACGTGGAAGAAGTCATTTATATTAAAGTCAGCCGCCACGTTAAATTTTTTTAAATGAATTTTTATTTATCCTTTTGCATTTATTTTAAAAAATCTCAAATGTTTGTGTTATTAACAAACTACTCGCGGAATTACTTCATTTAATCAATTTCCGTAATAATAATGATAATAATAATAATAATATCCGTGGGTATAAAAACGATGGATTGATAATTAGAATCCTCCGGTCATTTTCAAATATTATTATTATTATCGATTATTGGAAATGAAAAAAAGTCAAAATAGTAACTTTTTACTAAAAAAAAAAATTTACCGCCGGAAGATGACGTAAATAAACCGGAAATCAAGATAATAATAATAATAAAAACAATTTGCCATCATGCCTTACATGTATGCTACGTCATTCAAATTAAATTATTTATTTAAACTCATTATTATTATTATTACTATTACTTATTAATCAATAATTAAAATTGCACTTTTATCATTATCATCAAAATAATTAATTTTGTATTTACAAAAAAAATCGATTGAAAAAAAGAGAAAAAAAAAAGTAAAAAAATTTTTAACGCGCACGTTTAATAATAATAATAATAATAATAATAATAATAATAATAATAATAATAATAATAATAATAGTGAAGCTTTAAAATGACCTTTTCAATGAATTTATGTGTGATTGAAAAAATATCATTATGTAATTATGTTAATAATTAGTGCAATAATGCAATTAATTAATTTCTATTATTATTATCATTATCATTATCATTATTATTATTATTTTTTTTGTTTTAAAAAAAATGAATGAGCTTATTTAAAAAAATTATTAAAAAAAAAAACTAAAAAAAAAATTTGAAATTTTTTTTTCAAAAAATTTGTTATGAAACTTTAAAAAGTTATAAATGAAAAAAAAAAAAAGAATTCTGTGAAAAGAGAGAGAAAGAGAAAGAGAGAGAGAGAAAGATGAATTTAAATAGGATGTAATGATAATAATAATATTAGTAGGTCGAAATAAATTTTTGGAAAAAAAATTTTTTTTTTCCATATAAAATAAAAAGCACGCCCTTTCCTGGAATGGATACTGGAAAAATTAGGTAAACGCAATCGCAGTAATGAAAATTTCTTTTGCGTCACATTTTTCGATATCCAATCAAGTGATTAGACTTAAACCGGTCAGAATAATAATAATAATAATTTTTTTGTTTGTTTGTTACTTTGGTAACACTGATAAAAACAAAAACAATAATAAATTGAATATATTCGTCCGGTTAATTAATTTATTTTTTTGCTTTCCGACCTCTTGTGTAAATTAAAGTGTGTATGTACGCACACGCATACGCATTCTCTCTCTCTTTCTCACTCTCTCTCCTTTTTCATATAAAAAAATAAAAAAATATAAAAAAAAACTTACCGTTCTATGATGTGATGCAAAAAGAGAAACGTTGTGCGTTCGAAGTTTCGACCAAAAAAAATCCGTTTGGCGTTACGAAAATCTTGGGAAAAAAAAAGAAAAATAAGGTCAAAGGTTAAATTTTACATTCAAATGAAAAAAAACAAAAAAAAAAAATTTACGCAATTGTAAAAAATAAAATAAAAAATGAATTTTTTTTCGTTTGTTAAATTTTTCGTAATTAACGACACACGCAACAAACAAACAAATCCCCGTTTTACGCGGATATTTAAAATTTTATAATTTTGTGGATTTTGTAAATATTGTAAAACATTTTATTAAAAAAAAAATTGTTATTCGTCGTTTTGTGTAAATTATTCGACAAAAAAAAAAAAAAAAATGTAAAATCAATTCGTTGTTAAAAGGTAAAAGTCTCAAACTTTAACTTTTCCTTTTTTTCCTTTTTTTTTCCTTTTTTCCTTTTTTAAAATGTCAAAAACTTTACGTACGTTTACCTTTTTAATTATTATTATTATTATTAAGAAAATAACGATTTATATAAATAAAAGAAAAAAAAGCCTTAAAAATTTTAAATTAAAAAATAATATAAAGAGGAGACTTTTATCAATTAACTAAAATGTGTATATTAATTAATTAATTAGATAATTAACGTGAAATTTATTGTATTAGCTTTCCAAACAAAAAATAAATAAATAAATATTATTAATAATAATAATAATAAGTTATGTAGAAAAATAATAAAAAAAAAAAAAACTACATTAAATAATTTTATTTACACCATTTAAAAATTTTTTTTCTTTTTTTTTTTTTTATTCCTTTCTTTTCTTTAGAATTTTTTTTTTTAAGGGTGTGACGTTTTCTAAGGGTTTAAAATTAAATTATTATTATTATTATTTGTTTTTTTTTTTTTTTCAAAATAATCGATAAAATTAATCATGGCGATCGATAAAATTTAATAATTTATTAAAAAAATCGAATTTGTTTTGATTTAAAATAATTAATTTGAAAATTTTCATTCAACCCTCGAGGGGATGCGTGTGTGTGTGAGTGCGTGTGTTCGAAAAAGGGGTTCGTTACGTAAGTATATAAAAAAAATCATCATTATTATTATTATTAGTATATTAATTAAAAAGACGAGAGAGAGAGAGGGAGATTTTGATAAAATCAAATAAATATTTGTAAATAATAACGTTTTTCGGTTAAATTTTTTACCAGAATAAATAATAAAAAAAAAATAATAATAATAATAATAATTTGCAAAACTTTATGTTCTCTCTCTCTCTCTCTTAAATAAAAAATAAAAAAGATTCAACGAAGAAATAGAATCGTGAACAGGGATGACATCAATCAACGTCAACATCCGCATCCTTCGTTGAATGTCTTTTATTGACGACTGACTTCAGTCCCGGGCTTAAATGTTTCAAAATCAGTCCCGAAAAATAAAAAAAAAAAATTTTTTTTATCGTTTCTTTCTCTCTCTCTCTTTTCTTTATTACCATTTCTTTCCCGTTTTCTATCTCTCTCTCTCTCTATTTTTTTTTACTGATATATTCTTTTATTCATTCAAAGGTTTCCAAACTTCGAATAAATAACAGTTTATTTCCATTTATCAAAAATCTGAATAATTTTTTTTTTTTTTAGAAAAAAAAAACGTTGAATCGCGGAGTTTTTTTTATGGGGAGAAAAAAGGAAAAGAAAAGGGAGGAGAATAAGAAAGAAAGAAAGAAAAAAAAAGTTTTAAAAATACGACGACGATAATAATGATAATAGACTACGAGAGGGAATAAAAAAAAAAAAAAAATTTCATGCGCGGCGGTGAAACGAATAAAAAATTAAAAATTTACGTACCTGTACCTGAATTTTAATCTTATACGGATTGTTATGAAACCCACAAACGCCTTGAAAAGTTTAATAATAATAATAATAATTTCTGATCCCTCAGGAATAAATATCTATTGAATGAGTTTTGTAACATCACATCAATTTTTGTGAGTCTTCCTGTTTCCATCTCTTTCTTAAACACGTCTCTGGTCACAACAGCATCTGTAAAGTAAGATCAAGATCAGAAGATGGTAAAAAAGGTCAACAAGGTTATG